ATTCAAAAGCGGTTGCAGTAGTACATCAGTAAAGAACTGCCAGAAATTCAGGCTGGATTCAGAAGAGGACGTGGAATGAGGGATATCATTGATGATGTCAGATGGATCTTGGCTGAAAGCAGAGAATACCAGAATGATATTTACCTGTGTTTTATTGACTGTGCAAAGGTATTCAACTGTGTGTGTGTGATAACAAATTATGGATAACATTACAAAGAATGAGAATTCCAGAACACTTAATGTGCTCATGCTTAACCTGTACACAGACTAAGAGGCAGTTGTTTGAACAGAACAAGGGGATACTGCGTGGTTTAAAATCAGAAAGGTGTGCATCAGGGTTGTATCCTTTCACCATACTTAGTCTCTGTGCTGAGCAAATAATCCGAGAATCTGGACTATATGAAGAAGAATGAGGCATTAGAATTGGTGGAAGACTCATTAATAGCCTGAGATATGCAGATGACACAACCTTACTTGCTGAAAGAGGAGAGGATTTGAAGCAGTTACTGATGAAGCTCAAAGACTACATCCTTCAGTATGGATTACACCTCCACATAAAGAAAACGAAAATTCTCACAACTGGACCAATAAGCAACATCATGATAAACGGAGAAGATATTGAAGTGAAGGATTTCATCTTACTTGGATCCACAATCAACGCCTGTGGAAGCAGCAGTAAAGAAATCAAAAGACATACTGCACTGGGCAAATCTGCTCAAAAGACCTCTTTAAAGTGTTGAAAAACAAAGATGTCACTTTGAAGACTAAGGAACACCTAACTGAAGCCATGATATTTTCAATCGCCTTATATCCATGCAAAGCTGGACAGTGAATAAGATCAAAGAATTGATGCCTTTGAATTATGGTGTTGATGAAGAATATTGAATATACCGTGGAATGCCAGAAGAACAAACAAGTCTGTCTTGGAAGAAGTACAGCCAGAGTACTCCTTGGAAGCAAACATGGCAAGACTTCGATTCACATACTTTGGACATGTTGCCAGGAAGAACCAGTCCCTGGAGGACATCATATTTGGTAAGATAGAAGATCAGCAAAAAAGAAGAATACGCTCAACAAGATGGATTGACACGGTGACTGCAACAATGGGCTCAAACAGCAATGATTGTGAGGATAGCCTAGGACCGGGCAGTGTTCTGTTTTGTTGTACATGGGGTTGCTGTGAGTTGAATGGTGCCTAACAGCAAAAACAGTTTCCTCATTAGGATCTCTTTATTAATGACATTCCTTTTTGATACCTTTTGTCCTTACTAAAAATATATCTTTTTAAAGTTAATTTCTCATGTAAAATATTTAAAATAATCCTTACCTTGATATTTATTTTATAATCTGAATACTCTCAGTCCTATAATCATCTGTAGCATCTCTAGGGGTTCTATATATATAATTATTTAATCTAAAATTATAGATTGGGGTGTTTTTTTTTAATCTTTAACATTCTTATCTGCTTTACTTTTTTTCTTCCTTTTTCTTTTTTGATATTTATCAGCTACAGCCTCTAGGATAACGTTGAACAGGAATGGAATAATGGATATCCTTGTTTTTTACCTGCTTTTACTAGAAAAGTGTTGAAATTTTCATTAAGTTGTTTGATGTACAGTTTTTGTATATACTCATTTTCATCATTTCTTATCTGATCATGTCCAAAACATTCTAATATATTTCCTAGCTTTTACATTTGCTCCCACACAGGTTCTTTAAATTCTTTAAGAGCTATTATATCATTTTACATCTTGATCAAAGGCGTAAAATTGCTATGAATTTTACTCTGATTAGAAGCTGTAGTGTTTTCAGAAGGCAGCACATTTCCCCAGAACCTATGTCCACTGGTTCCAGTCATCTTTCCAGATTCCTCTACTGTTACGCTTCAGCATCTCTGGTCATGCTGGGGCTTGGGTCTCCCTGAAACATACCAGGCACACTCTAACCTGCTGGCCTGTTCGCTGGCATTTCCTCCTCATGGAATAATCTCTTTGCAGCTATCTATCTCTTGGGTCATTCTTTCACATCTTTCAAGTCTTAGCTCAGATCATTGTTTTCAGTAAATTCAATTAATTAGGCTATTGAGGTCATGGGGCAAAGAGCTGCCTCCAAAAGTGCAGGGACACATAGGCACTCTGCTCCTGGGCTTCTGCTCTGAATGATTGTATCTGCCTTTGTGTCTTTCCAGTTTGGAGGACAGTCGTTTGCCCTGTGACCCCAATACTATGAGTTTAGAATGTTCAGCATTTTTCTTGTTGTGAGGATGAGAGTGATGCTTCCAAGCTCTTTACATATCGCACCAAAACCTGGAAGTCTTCACTGGTGTTTTGTATCATTACTGTTGTCTGTTTTCTTTTACTTTCTTGGTAGAATTTATTCATGTTGCTTTTATTTTTCCCGTGCCCCAGTTTGCATGTTTACCCTTTGCTAATGATGTTTTTATTTTGTGAATAACCAGTGTATCTTCCCTTTCTTAGCCATGAAGGTCAGTGGCACTCTTTGACTTTTGTGCCTCTGTGTTGGAAATTGCTGAAGTCGAGCATCTGAAATCTGTATGAGTGTTTACAAAATCGTCACAGAACACTTCCAAGCTTTTAGAATTGAAAATGTGATTTTTTGTTTTCCTTACCAAGCAAGGTTTCACTAGCTAGTGTTTCCTAAAATGATTATTTGTGCTTTTCCCTACACTAAATAAAAATAAGTATGCTTGTGTTACTACTTACCCCATGATTATGCTGCATTTTTCATAGAACTTACCGCCATGTGACATTATGTTGTTGTTGTTAGTTGCTGTGGAGTCAATTCCATAGTGACCCCATGTGTGCAGAGTAGAACTGCTCCATAGAGTTTTGTAGGATGTGATCTCTCAGAGAAGATTGCCAGGCCTGTCTTCCGAGGAACATCTGGGTGGCTTTGAACCGCCAGGCTCTTGGCTAGCAATCAAGCACTTAACTATTTGTGCCACCCAGGGAACTTGACATTATATTTTGTTTATTTACTACCCACACCCAAAGAAGTTATGATCCATGTGCATCCAGCTATTTCTGTTTTTCTCAGTGCTGTATCTGCTTTGCTCACATGAAGTAGACTCTGTCAGTATTACCTAAATCAATTTTAATAAATGAAAGAGCCAGATGTAAGAGCCTACAGGGAAGCAGCCTTGCCTCAGACATGAGGCTCTGCCAGGAGAAGGAGCTCCAGATTGTCTGAATTGAATAGGATGTTTCCTTTGTCTCTTCTCCCTACTACCCAGCAGATCATCCATGCAACTGAGGATTAACAACCAGAATAAAAAGCACACTGTGGGCATATGAACAAAAATGTAGTTGTCAGGAATTTAGTCTTAGGCACAATGATCTGCATTCTGACCCTGGCTCAGCAACATACCATTTGGGCAGTACTAAGCATGTGATTAATTGATTGTATCTTTTCTTGGCTATAACCTGTTTGAAGCAGTTTCTGCTCAGGAGAGGCATGAAGACTAAATGAGCTATTGTGCCAAAAGCTTTTTGCAAAACCCTTCAAATATTGTAGTTACTCAATAAATGCAACGCTTTATCATGAGTATGTTGTAGGAATGGAAGTTAGGATTTTTGAAGGCTTTAAAATGTGTAACCTGGCCCACTGCAGTGAAGGAGACTTGAATGTGGCACTGGATCAAAGTTTGCTGTGACACTATCATACCAGGATTGATGAACGATGACCTTGACAGCTCACTTCACCCCTAGCCTATCTATTCTACATCTGCTCTGCCATTCAGTATAATTGTAGCATCGGGAGTGCAGTTTAGCAGCCTTTTGTCTCCTTACTACATGTGGGAGCCAAAGGGTTGAAGCTGTTTCACAGGCCAGTCCTACAGCCCAGAAGATGCCAGTGGTCAGGGTTCAGGTAGCCATGCTTGTGTGCATTCCCAGGGCTGCAAATGAGAGAAAAATTTGGAGTGGAGCATCTAGAGGATTGATGTGTAAGTCTCTGTTTCCTAGGATGCATGAGCAGTTCAACAGCTAAATCCCCTGCACTTCAGTGAGCTTACTAGAAACCGTGAATCTTAGTCTCTCGTTCATGGTCAGCAAACACAAGCGCGTACTATTCTGGTTCTTCAGAGATTGGGCTCCTTGTCATATAACGTAGTGTGTGTGTGGTTGTCTATTGAGGGGAACAATCATGAATAATTGCTGTACAGTAGCTTTGTGTCTCAAAGTTTGAAAATTGTGATGATACCTGTATTCTCTTGTTTCCTATCTCTCACCTGAGCTCCATTTACATTTTCAATACCCTTGACTGGCTCCATGAAGGGACAGAGTGCATGACAGTGCAGCTGTAGCGTTATTGAAAAGTCAGCGACAGCCATGCAAAAATTCGTAATTCCCCAAAATAATATTCTCTTTTAAGCAGGTGGTGTTGTCAGCTCCTGATCACCTGGAGTTCTTTAAGAAAATATGACCAGCTCAGGGCCTTGGGTTGCCAGTTTGTGCAGGTCACTAGGCCTCCCATGGCTAGTGAGGGGCAAAAGCAAAAACTGCCAGTCCTACAGTGTTTCCCAGTTGTTAATATCTCATCCTGCTTTCACCCTGTGCTTCATGTTTTGTTAAATATTCTGGTGGGTCTTGCGCAAGGAAGTAAACTTTTTTTTTTCCACAAGGAAGAGATGATCCTAATGTGGAAATAAGGCTTTCATTTTAGAGCATTTCTCCAGTTTATGCTGTGCGTTCTGACGTTCTAGATTGGAACTGATCACAGTCAAACTGTGGAGAGAGAAGTTCATTGTGTTGGAAGTATTGTTAAGTCTATGAGACAAGATGCAATCATTGCGAATGTCAGTGTAGACAGTGAAGGGATGAGGCTGATGGCTAAACTCTAGAGTAGACCTCAGTAGAACACAACTCTGTGTCAAATCCCCATGAAATCTCAGTTCCCCAGGACTGTCAGCCTCACCTTTCCTTTCACACACATTGGAGTACATGGTACCTTGCTGAACAAGAATATGTGGGATGTTTTAGGACTCAGTAGCTTTTGAGGATGTGGCTGTGGACTTTACCCAGGAAGAGTGGGCATTGCTGGATCTGTCTCAGAGGAAACTCTACAGAGATGTGATGATGGAAATCTTCAGAAACCTGGCCTCAGTAGGTATGGACGGCTTCATTTTTTAAAATTTATTCTTTAGTGACCAGCTATGTTATACTTGTCAATATTACTCCAGTGTGTGGGCTTTGGAAGGGGAATACATTGTTAAATGAGACAAATATGGTGATTTGCTCTCTGAATCATAACGTATATTGCCTTCCCCATGAGTACAAAGCTCTATGTGTTAAACTGACTTCTCATTTCAATTGTGTTAAAAGCCTTAAGGCTCTTTAAATGTTGTAAGTGTGAGCGTTGATTTCAGGGGTTTCTATAAGGGTAGAGTGAAATTTGTAATCGAGGACCTTGTAAAGGGTCCTCCTACCCATCTCCAGATACCCTGAAGAGCAAAGTATTGGCTCATTTTCAGGGAAATGTTCATCACCCTTCCCTGTCTTCCCTCATGATATGCCTTTCTCCATGATCACCATGTCAGCTGTACCCATTTGTTCTCCCAGAGTAGCAAGAGGAAGATCTGAGGAGAGTGCAGAGAGCACTTATCTAGGGCCGCTGTGTCAGGGGCCACCGGGAGGCAAGAATCCTTTCAAGGACCAGGCCTGCACGGAGGGAATGATATTTGAATAAATCAGTTAGAAAAAGTCTCTTTTGAATTGAAGAGTATGTACTTCACAGATATCTGAGCTTGCTTTTCTGGCTTTTATCAATCCTAATACACCTGTGTTCATGGAGAAAGACCATCCCTTTTTCCTCTTTTAATGTTCCGTGAACATTGTGTCCAATACTTTTCTACTTTGCTCTTGTAATTACACACTATTTATGTCGTAGTCACTCTCAATCTTCATGGATGTATTTCCTAGTAAATTGCTTTTTGAAAATTGCCAAAGTACTGAAACAGCAAAACATGTCAGTCTTTCTGTTCTCACAGCTACCTTTTTACTCTAAGTAATTCCTTTCCTTTTTGTTTCATATTGTGCACCTCAACTTAAATCATTGTGTCAGTTTCTCGAAAACTAAATGATGGAGAAAAGCTATCCTCTGAAAATATAATATTACGATTCATGAAAAATGACACGTGGTCCTCAATGGTAGGAGAAATGTGTGAATTACATGGCACTGAAGATCAGGATAACAACAAGAAAACACATGTGAGGTGAGTGTCATTTACTAGAGAGACAGCAGTGCTTCAGAGAGTCTTAAGAAGGTATCATGGCATTAAAATATTTATATGTGATGTAAGGAACCCAGGTGGCACAAATGGTTAAGCACTCGACTACTAAGCAAAAGATTGGAAATTCGAACCTACCTAGTGGCTCTGCAGGAGAAATACCTGGCAGTCTATTTCTGTAATAATTACAGCCAAGAAAACCCTATGGGGCAGCTCTGCTTTGTCACATGGGGTCACTATGAGCTGGAATTGACTCAACAGACCCAACAACAAAACAATACACACACAAGTATATATACATATATGTACATATATACACACATATATATACATATATGTATATAGGGTTGGCAGTTCAAATCCACCAGGTGCTCCTTGGAAACTCTATGGGGCAGTTCTACTCTGTCCTGTAGGGTTGCTATGAGTCGGAATCCACTCGACCAGAATGGGTTTGGTGTTTTTTTTTGGTTTATGTGTGTGTGTGTGTGTGTATATATAGGTTTATATATATATATATATATGTATAGGTTTTTGTTGTTAAGTGCCTTCTGGTCAGTTCTGACTTACAGCCACCCCTATGCACAAGACAAAG